TGATGAAACTCAGAATGTCTCTGAATTATCTGGTGAATTAATTATGAATTAATTATCTGATGAACGTGACATGCTGTTGCTCTCTGTAAATAAAGCAAAGCCACTTCCTCGTCCGACATTAAACAGAGCCCGACAGAGGAGGGAGGGGCGGGGAGGCTCTTGCCGTAGCGCTTCAACAGGTGACCTGCGTCTGACCTCAAAGTGCACAAGCGACCAACTTGAGCATTGGATGTGATTTTGAAGCTGAAATCGCGTTGGGTGTGAACGCAGCATAAGAAAGTTTGAAGCGGGTCCCGGAGGGCAATAAATCAAGATGCAGTAGAAGGGATGAGTAGATCCAAATTTAACAGTCTGTGATTCAAATGTGGTAAAAGTCCTGGTGCTCACCAACCTGCAGGTTGAATTGTCGCGGTGTATGACTGCGAGTCCGCCGCCCTGCTTCTCCATCCGCGGCGTCGTGAGCACCGTGTCTCCAGATGAACAGAGCTCATTCAGGTGGAAGTGTTCGTCTTTCTTCTGCCCCGTTTCAACCAGGAACATAAAGTCAAGATCCTTAGCGTGAAACAAATCATTGAGCAGAAGAGCCTTGTTGCTGATGGATCTCATGTTCAGAAGAAACATCCGGAGCGGCCGAGGGTTGTTGAGGTCCGGCGGTGAAACCAGCGGAACTTGGACAAGGCTCCTTTTGCGAAGCTCGGAGCGGGAGTCGTGGTGCCAGCTTTGGGAGGAAATCTATGGTGGGAGGCTGGGCCAGGTGCAGTGTGCACCGAGAGGGTCACCAAGGTCCTGGGCTCCAGTCAGATAAAGGAGGCAGTGAGGCCAGATTCTGTGCAGGGAACCACCAGGTCCAGCAGAGTGCTTCTTTCTGGATGAAATACCCGCACGGCAGCCTCGCTTTTTGTGTTTCCTCGCTGGATTACCACGACGGTGAGGGAGGGTGATTAGATGTCTGTCCAGCTCCAAGAGGTGGAGGAGAGGCGGCAGAGGATGAGTGCGGTGGTAGTCCTCCCATGTGGAGAAAGGTAGCTCCATAGTCCTTTGTATCATCAGTGGAGACAGACAATCATAGTGGAGCTGAGGAGCTGCAGCAACCAAGATAGTCATGTTGGTCAGAGGACAAAAGGAAGGACCAAGCAATAAAATAATCCATGACAGGCGTAAAACTATAAAGAAAAAGCGTAAATACGAGCAAGAGGTGGACCAGCCAAACAAAGGCGCCGCCATTTTGAAACGAGTGTGAGTTTATGAGCCCTATACACAACTGACAAAATACTATTATCAATCAAATCATTGAACTTCAATAAGTTCAACTGATGGAACAATGAATTTGATGGGTGACTGTAACATTTTCTGGTAATAATTCTTACAGCTCTTTTCTGTTAAATGAAAAACAGGATTTGTTATTGTTTTACATGCTTTTCCCCAAACATCAATACACAATAAATTAAGTGCGAAACAATTATTGCATTATACAACATAAACAGTGATTTATCATTGAATAAGTCCTTTACTTTGTACAATACTGCAATGGATTTGGCTATTTTTGTTCTTAAATGATTTATGTGAGGTCCCCATGTCAGCTTCTCATCAATGATGACACCCAAAAACTTCACCTCACTGACTCTACAGATCTCAGTACCATCAATTCTAAATGGAACATCAGTTGTTTTCTTTCTGTTACCAAATATCATATAATTAGTCTCATCTAAATTTAATGATAATTTTTCAGTTTAAACCAGGTTTGTATTTTAGCAAATTCTGTTTGCATCATCTCCAACATCCGTTCTATATTTTTACCAAAACAAAAAATGTAGTATTATCTGCAGATAAAACACATTTGAACAACCCTGACACATTTACCAAATCATTCACATTTAAATGAATAACTTTGGTCCAAGTACAGAACCTTGAGGAACTCCACATGTAAAATTACTTAATTCAGATCTTGTATCATTTATTTGTACAAACTGTTTCCTATCCTTTAATTAACTAGATACCCACTGTAATGCTGGTCATCTAATACCGTATTTGTTCAATTTTTCAAGTAGAATGGTGTGGTCAGTGGTGTCAAAAGCTTTCTTCAAGTCAAAATAAATACAAGCACAGTATTGTTTATGAACAACAGCAGTTGATATTTGCTCTACGAAGTCCATGAGTGCCATTGATGTGGAATTGTTAGCTCTAAACCCATACTGACTGCTACTTAGAATATTATGTTTGTCGAGTAATTGATCCAATCTAAGCACAAATAATTTCTCTAAAATCTTTGAAAACTGTGGTAACAAGGATATTGGTCTGTAATTATTGAACATGCATTTCTCACCATTCTTAAAGAGAGGCATTACCTTGGCTGTTTCCATAGTATCTGGAAATATACCAGTTGAAAATGATAAATTACAGATATATGCAAAAGGTTCAATAACATGATTCATTTCCTTTTTAAACATCGTGTCCATGTCCTTCCAGTCTTTTGATCTTTTGTCTGCAAGAATTTTTACAATATTCAGGATTTCTTCTTCGTCAGTTCCATCAAGGAAAATACTTTTGGTGCAACCATGACTGTATGACTCACATTTTTATCTACTTTTGGTATTTTAGCTGCAAGACTTTGACCAACATTCACAATTTACTTATTAAATCAATTTACAATTTCATTTTGATCATGGATTTCCTTTCCATCTTTTACAAAATGTTGTGAAATGTCTGATCTTGTTTTGTGGCTATTTAAGACACTGTTCGTAACAGTAAACCAATAAGGCCAAAGAAAGCTGGTAAATGTAATGCCCTACAGCTTCTGTAAAGCCGGATTCCCACTAAACGCATCTTGAGCAGCACAAATGCTCCTGCCACATGCTTTTGGCTGCTTGTCAACAGATGTCTGTTCACACCGAATGAGTCTGAAGATGCAAAGGAAGGAGCGTCTTTGTCCGTTTTCCGGTGTATTGACGGTTGAAATAAAGTTAAAATAAATAAAATGGCTTTGCTTTATTTACTAAAGAGCAAGCGAATGTTGCGCACAGCAGATAATTAATTCACCAGATAATTTAGAGGTGGTTTGTTCGGTTAGTTTTGTCAATCCAGGAGCTGCGAGCTGAGGGACTATTTTTTTGTCCTGAGTTTAGCGAGCTGCTGTCTCATCACATCGGTGCTGATATCTCCAGCAAGATCACCAACTGACGGTCGATTTCAGCTAAAAAGGCTCCTGTCCATCTGTGTCGGGTTCATGAAACCATCACGTGAAAAAAATACTCTCCCCAGACTGGTTGCTGCTGCGCGTCGAGCAGCCAAAGTTCAGTTTGTTGAACTCCAGCAGCCGCTGCTTTGGACGTGCCACATGCACGGAAAATGCTCTGCCACATCCTACCACTACCTTGCGCACTGCTCTGAACTGCCAAAACGCGCCGCTATGTGCTGCGCTGCTCTTAGATGCGCGTCCACCATAGACTTTGCATGTAAACTGGCTGCTTCGGCTGCTCAACACGCGTTTGGTGTGTACCTGGCTTAAGAGATCATCCAGCAACCCTAACGATACTCCAGTGCAGCTCTTTGGAGCAGCTGTGGAACACATCAGCAGTAACTGAGTGGCAAAAGTCCATAAACTGGATATTTTGTAATGCATCAAGCTCATACAGCACAGTGATGGAAAAGGCAGGTATGACAGGATTTCTACTATTAAACTGCACTCCATCAGACTCTGATGCAATCTGGATCTACAGAAACTGTCACTCAAAATGATCCCAGATGTCCTCCATCCTGCATTTCCTACATCATGACGCAGATACTGCAGGGCTTTGCAGATGTTACATTTACATAAACTGCTATGTGTTTTCCAGGGAGTGCAGGAACATTAAATATTGACCAGATGCAGACAGAGGGTGGTTTGAGAATTTTTTGATTGAAATTAAAGTGAAATTCACCCGTCTGACTCCACTGCTTTGATGATAAAGACAGATGTGTCATTTATTGTTGGGTTTGTCTCAAGAAAACATTTCTACACCATTAATATTCCTTGCATAAAAAAACTGTGTTTTGATCTTTGTCTCGAGGGCCAGGTGGCGTTGGCACAACTGAACTAAAGAGAAGGCTAGTGATCTCCGACCCCGACCATTATGGCACCAGTGTGCCATGTAAGGCAAACCTCTGCAGGTTTCCTAACCTGAATACCAAAACATGTCTTTTAACATGGCCTTCAGCCCAGTCTGTTTGCTTTTCAGACACAACACGAGAGAAGAGGAAACAGGAGCGTGAAGGAGTAGATTATCATTTTGTCTCTGTTCAAAAGTTTGAGGAGGACATTCTGAATCAGAGGTACTGCATAAGCAACTTATTTAGTCTTTTATGAGCTATCTGTTATACTATTACTTAACTATTCTTATTCTCTCTCTGTCTGTGCCGACAGGATTGTAGAATATGGTCAGTACAAAGGTCACTACTATGGAACAAATCTAGATGCTGTGCACAGAGTGATGGCTGAAGGCAAGGTGTGCCTCCTGGATGTGCACCCTAGTGTAAGTAGCCTGTGAAAAACCAGCCTCTTGTTCTTTGCTTTGCTTCGCACAGAGGGTCTGGACTCTCGGCTATTAAGAAGCAATTCCTTGCTGGAGGCGTGGCCTCCGTTAAAGTTTAAAACGATTGGATCTTATTTTACTCACTTGCTAACATTTAGCCATGACGTACAGTAGTGGACCAGCTCAACCCTGAAGGAAGCTGAGCTAACCGGAAATTACATGCGCTGTAAAAAATCATCCACTACTGGAAATAGAGAAGTACCAATCTGAAGGAGATAATAAACTAAAAAATAATAAAAATAAAAAAATAGCCTATTTTATAAGTTCAAATTTTGTTTGTTTTATTACCTTTCATCGCAGTTATCTTTAATGTTGACGTGATACTTTGACATTGATTTAAAATAAGGTTTTAATAATTTTTCAACCAAATTATGCATTGTCATTTTAAAACAAATCATTAATTACATGTTCTGTGGAGGTGTAAAGAAAGATGAACATCATGCTCAGCTATACATTTACAAGTGACTTGATTCTCAGCAGGTGAAATTTAGAAGCCTTTTAAAAGATTGATCTAACTAGGAGAAGAATCTTCATACAACCTGTAAACATTTTTTCTATAATTACCAAATCTTTTTGTCTTTACAGAAAATAGGCTGTGTGTACTCCTTTGAATTCAAACCTTACGTGGTGTTTGTGAAACCTCCACGAATCGAGGAGCTGCGCCTCACCAGGAGGAGAGCTAAATTTGTATGTGATGAAGAAAACACGAACCAAGTCAGAATCTTTTCAGTAAGGAAAACCACTCCTGATTTGTGATGTAAAGCAGGATTTGTCAGTTAAGTCTTGTTTTCTCTGTCATATACAGTATATATATATATA